GGCCCCCCAGCCCCCGCGCACCCCAGGCATCAGCACAGGCATCACGAGCCTGCGGTGGGATTGTAAAAACAAAGTTGTGATCCCATGAACTTGGGCTGGACTACCCTCTTCTGGAGAAGAGTCCAGCCTCTACAGTCACCGCAGCCTTTTGCATAAAAATTACCCCGGCATCTGGAAGGTCTGCTTCTGCACAAGTTTTGCTTACATTTTTTTAACTAAAAGCTGTTCCCGTTTCCTCTGCTTTACTTGAGGGCAAGAGAACTATCCTTGAATTCGCAGTGGGATAACAAACCAGAATTTCATCAGCCCATTTGCCATTTCATTGAATTTTGCTGAAAGCAAGAGAAACTATAAATAAAAAAGAAACAAAACCTCTTTCCCATTATATACTCCAGTCCCTCCAGATAAACCTATCTTGGGCTGTCATATCACAGACCCCTGCTTGCAAAGTCTTACGCTGCAGTAGAAGCAGGAGGAAAAAACCTGAAATTTGGAAGCAGTAGCAGTTTAAAACAATTTCACAGTGCTGAGACTGTACTGGTGTCCACATTGCTCTCCAAGGCCAGGAACCACTTGCAAGAAAGGGTCTTGTGCTCACAGTTGGATTTTGATGGAAGGCTTTCTGTTAGCAAGGCCTCCCTGATGTAAAACCACCCATTGCAATTTACGTTGGTGATGTGACAGGTGGTTTAACAGATTCACTGCAATCTCCTAAAGCTATCAACCCACAAAAAAGCCAAATTTTCCTGTCACCACAAACGTGGGAAGTTGAAATTCTCTATACTAATCACTGTATAGGTTGCAACCTTGATGAATTATGAGCAGATTCTCTTTTATCTTATTTTCCTACATTTTAAAAAACATAACAGAACAAAACAATGAAACAGGGTCTTAGGAAGGTACCTTGTTACACTGAATAAATATGTGCTTCCCAGTTAAAAACTGCTAGTGATCTACTGTCTATTAATAGCTTACAACTGGAAAAAACTGGCATCACTCTCCAAGAAATTAATTACGTCATCTGTAAAAAGTGTAAAAAAATTAAAAAAAAAGCCTAACAAAACTATGATAAAGTAATCACTTAAAAACAGATGTTATAGTTCAGAGCTGCAGCATCGCCCAGCCAAACACTGTAGGTCACATTCCAAAAGAGGCCATGCTGTGTCATGCTTCAAGAAGAGGGGTGAAGCTGGCTGGGAGTACGCTTCTCCCACCTTGCCGCTCAGCATTCACAAGCCTCGAGATTCCTGCATTGCTGCCATCTGTGAGCGTTGTAGAAATTCAAAGACCACATGCAGACTTGACACATGGAGTCAGGAGAAGTACTTGGATCTATATATGTTCCCTCGGAGTTATTTGACATTTTTAGACCTTTTATATTTTGCTCATCTATTGACCTTGCTTTATGAAACCCTACAACTTTTTCCAACAAGGGCAGGAGCAGAGTTGTTTGAAAGTGGGAAACTCTTTTCTTACTGTATCTCATCCAAAAGCACTGATGCTTTCAATTCCTAATTCCACCACAGAAACAGGAGTATTTGATGAGGTTAATAGCAAGGAGTGGGAAAGAAAATAACAAGGCTCTGAGAAGTACTGATAGGTAGGAGAGAAATTAGAAGTGGGTGGAAGGAGATGAAGTGATCATAAGGATAGAGAACACTGAAGGTTGTTGGACCAAGGGCCAGCAGAGACGACACTGAAGCCAATTGTTAAGAAAGTTGAAGAGAACTGCAGCCTTAGATAAAATCCCTATTCTGAAGTTCGGAGCAAATGTGAACTTTACCAGAATGTTGATGTCTCCTGGAATGGGATGACCAGGGGACTTCACACAAGATTGCATTGCATTCCCAGTCATTCATGATGCCCCTCACTAGGAATGTTTTCTTCCTTAAATTCATGGGGCTTCTGAGGAAAAGCCAATGCAGATACCCCCAAGTTTAGTACTTGAGCTGCCTGTACCAGGCTCCAGTAGCAGCTACACAGACTAGGGAAGCTGGCCCTGGCACTGGCCATACTTTCCTGCCCCGCCAGGAGAGCTCTGAGGAGTTTCAGCTTCACCAGCTTACTCAGATTTCCTGCCTGTGGCGCTATATCTCTTAAACAAACCTACACATTACTGATGCTCTGAAAAGCATAGCCTGTTAAATGCAGGGCAAACACGATTTTTAATTCTTATTCTCTGGTGAAGAAAACTTGCTTTGTACACAAAGCCTGTGTAAAAGTCTCTATGTAAAACCTATAAAGAGTGATTAGTTAATTACTCCTCATGTCCTCCAAGTACTAACCAGTATAACAAGAACCTAGACAGGGATTTGTGAATATCAGTTGGGGGAAGGTTCAGAAATATCTAAGAAAGCTTTCCAGATAACCATTAAAAGAGGGCTCTGAGGACATGCTGAATATCTACCGTTGCAAGGTTTTAACATAAGGTGAATCAAATATCAGCTTAATCCAAAAATCAAGACCAATCTCAGTACCTGATCTTGATTCAAACCAAGAGGATGGACGAGGTGGAACCTTAAAGTCTTTTCCACACATACAAGTTCTCAATTCAATTAATTTCCCTATCCTTTCAGGTCTAAATTAGGACTATATATATGTGAGGTTCGTACAAGAAAAACTATGAAATTCAGTGAACTAACCACTCTGTCTTACTGCACAGCTTATTCATCTAGCTGAGCCCTAGACACTGAGCTCTCTCCCAAGACTGAAGGAAATTTGGGCATGAGACTGAGAACTTGAGTACAAAATGGACAAACACACACAAGATGACAGAAAACAGCACTGAGAAGCTAGCTGAAGTGCCAGGTTTCAAGAAGAAGGTATGGGTGTCTCTTTTCAGAAATAAAACGTCCGATTACAATGAGTTCTTCCAATAAGATCTTTTCAGATTAATATTTAAACAATTCCCAGATACAAAAAAAAAAGGTGGTCACCAAAATCTGTCAGATGGATGGATGCGCATGCTCTAAGGAATCTGCCAAGGTTCATGGAGAGAAGAGACCAACCTGCCTGGCAATCTGCCTAAAGTGAAAATGTGGACTCCCAATATAGAACACTTTGTGCTCGGCAACCATGATGGCGTATGATCCTTATGATGATGTTTATGATGTTCATGAATTTGTCACTGAGATGCAGTGTCAAGAAAGCCACGGGATGGCTAACTGGCATTATTCATACTACCCAGCTGCATTACAACAGATTGGAGGAATGGCAGCCTGATGAGTGGCCCCACACACGACAGCCTCCTATGTCCTCCTGCACACTTGCTCTGTGTTAGGGCTCAGGGCGTTTAACTGGACCGTAAGCTGTTCAAAGACCACTTGTTTGCTCTGCATCTGTACAGCACTGCACAGCATTTGCAACAAAATGATTCATGTTTGGTGCTCAAGGTGGTAAAGAAGTGCAAAAAATAATAGTAACAGTTCAGCTATAGCCCTAAACTAAAATTTTGGTAATGCTACACCAGACACGACTAGTGATTGTCTCTCGTTGTCGAGCAATTAAAACAATGATATAATATTTATTTCCATGAAGGCAGAGTTCCTCATTTATTGATGCGTATGTGACTCTTTTGATGTTCCTAGTCATGCTCCAGCTGCCAAATGAACATCTTTATTGTGTTTAATATGCCACATGGTATGAGACAGGCTCCAAAAACTCGATGCAAGCAAAATGAAAATACTGCCAAGCATCTCCCAATGAAAAACAACATGCATGTCACTCATCACCCTCTGTTCATTTCTCAGCCTATCTTAGACTTGTACTCCTTTCTGTAAGAAAGCTCATTCACATATGAATTGTACACAATATTTTTGTCCACCAAGCAATATTCATTATTAGCAGTACCTGCATGCATCCCAAGGCTTTAATCTTTGACTTTGAGCTTATTATCATCAAAAGACCCGTTGGAAAAAGGATTCTTAAACCAGATTCCAAGGCCATTACTGTAACTATGGGAAACTGAAGTTGCTATTGGATATATTACAGTTTATAAGTCTCAGCAAGAAATCTCAAGTTCCTGGGATTCATCATTTCAGTGCATCCCATTTTCACTGTTATGATATACCACATATGGGAGGTTTCTACACAACTGTGATATTTATGATAATGAACCACAGATGTTTTAAAGAATACCATTTTAAGACATTGAAAGGTTAGCAGTTGGATTTCTGGTAAACTATCTAAAAAGAAAACTAGCTGAAATAGATTTCTTACATTCAAAAGCATATATTAGGGTGATATATTCCTCTTATAAAGTATGTTTTCTCTGAGTTTAATTCTCAGACGTTTAATTCGTTTTGAACAGAAATAGAGAATCCATAATTTTCTTCCTGATGAAATCTCTACAAAGGTATTCTGTATAATTAAATATATATATTTACCTATAAGCACACAAAAACTTACTTTGATGGCTCTATGTACAGGTATTCATATTTTTATGTTAGCTAGTGACAGCTAGCAACAAAATGTCTCCTCAGTGAGGAAATTTCACGTGGAAAATACACACCAAACACACATACATAATTACTCTATCAATGAAGTTTAGGATCCTTTTTGTAAATAAAACTAGGCTTGTTCAAATCAGTGGGAATTACAGCTTCAAGTGAATACTATCCTGGTTTTTTCTTATCCTTTTTAACAAATAACTTTAGATCATATTGAAACCACAAATTGGAAGCTGTGCCTACGAAGGGTCTAGAGATCCAAGAAAAGTACATTACAGCTGCACAAAGGCAACCTAACTTTCCAGCCCAGCAGGGATCCCTCAGCT